AAGCTAATAGTAAATAACTCCAATCCATTTTCAAAAACTGACAGGTTTTTCCGCCCAACGATATACCAATTGAAAGCTTAAAAAATGGAAAATCGACATGAATTGTCGACTTTTTAAAGTTTTCTGAGCCGTTAGAAATAAAAGATTTTATCTGTTTGATGTATTGATTGATTTAATGTGCTCATTTTCTGCTCTCTTACAACGAAGATGAAAGCTACAAAGTTGACGGTCTACATTTATTGATAAAGACTTGCTCTATAAAAGAGATGGACAATCAATGGTAGCTAGGTCTTCGTTGGGTAGAAATCTACTGTTAAAGGCAATGGCTCGGGGAAATTGCGACTGCGGGCTTTTCACGATTACGTGGCCTTCTGGACCAGCTGTGTCCGGTACTGCGCTTGAAAGGTCAAAAAAGTGCTTTTTGGCGTTTCCGGGCCTTGAAGTGCTGGAGAGGCGGGGCGAGGGATTCACCCCAAAAAGGAGCAACTGGTTGTTGGAGATTGTTAACTCCACCTATTTTGCCGGCAACTGCTGATCAGCCTAGGGAGCCATCGCGATGCCGTTTGCCGCCAAAATAGGGGGAGTTACAATCTCCTGCAGCCGGTTGCTCATTTTGGGGGAAGTTTCTCGCCCCCGCCCCTCCAGCAATCTCCAAGGCCCGGAAACGCCAAAAAAGCACTTTTCAACTTTTCAGGCGGAGTACCGGACTGAGCTGGTCCAGAAGGCCATGTAGTCGTAGAAAGCCGACAGCCGCAATTTTCTCTAGCCACTGCCTTTAAATATGGTGTCGGGCGCAAAAAAGTTGCTAGTGCTCAAAAGAAGGTGGAGATTTTTACTATTAGCTCTCCACCCCGCCCCCTCAATGTAATGGCTTTTATGAGTGACAGGGGCAAGGGCTTTTCAATGTAAGGAAGCGAAATACCTAAACAAGCTATTATGTTGAACCGAAAGCTCTGTCGCACCATTTTCAAAAAAAATGTAAATTCTTGTTATCAAGATGTCTTTTAAGATTAAAATTTTATTGGAAAGAGCAATTCATGCATTTTTTAGAGGCACCGTGCTTGCTATCTACTTAGCTCTGACAATGGAGTGGTCAGAAGTCGAGGTGGCCAAACCAAACAAGCTGTATACCATTCGATGCAGTATAAAACGCCGACTTCGAACCTGTCTTTCTTATCTGCTTCACGCTTCTGTGGACGAAGCTACAAGCGGTTTTATTGTGAGAAAATCACACATAAATACAACGAAATTGAGCACACTGTTGCACTTTTAGCTCAGCTTTTTTCCTTAAAAATTTGAAGTAGGCTAGCTGCATGTTTTGGCCCAGCATTAAGGAAGGCGAGTGGCTCTGCACGGTTAAATTTTCAATTTCACGCGTAATTTCTTAGCAAAATAATGGTCTTTAATGGCTTGTAGCTTCGTCCACAGAAGAGGGACGCAGATAAGAAAGACAGATTCGAAGTCAGCGTTTTATACTGCATCGAATGGTATACAGCTTGTTTGGTTTGGCCACTTCGACTTCTGATCATTCCCTTGTGAGTGCAGAGTTTAAAGTGGAAAAACGACACTTCAGTTAAGAAATTTTGAGGCAAGCCCCGCCAAGAATCCCAAAACTGTACTATAACGTCCAAAACAAATAGTAACCTAAGTTTTTTGATCCCCTCTTTCTAGCTAAGCAAAATTCGCGCAGATCGAGCTCTTCTTCAAAAAGTTATGATTTTCGTGGAAAAATGCATTAAAATCATTTCTCAGGAAAAGTGTTTTTTCCACAATTTTTCTCGAATCATAACTTTTCAATAAAGGCTCGATCGGAGCGAATTTTGCTCTGCTAGAAAGAGGCGGTCAAGAAACTTGGGTTACTCTGTTGCGGATTTTTATAGCATAGCTTTGGAATTTTCAACGGGCTTCTCAAAATCGATTAGACCGTCGACTTTATTCTATTATTCCCCTACCGAGAGATACGCCGCATTTTATCTGAAATCATGTCCATTTACAACAGCAGATTTCTGCCCGATGAAGACCTATTTGCCACTGTTTATGGATGTGTCCCATTACTTGTGAGATTCAACTACCAGATTCCACGCTCTTTGACTTTAAAAATTTTTCAAAGTCAAAAAGAGCCGTGGGCGCCCATTACTTCCTTTAAGCTTGAAGGCAGTGTCCGGTGAAAAAGTCGATTTTGAGATTTTGTGCCTATTTGCTATGCTGAATCCGAAAATCCACACTAGAGAGCGCGAAAACGGCGAAGAAGGGCTCTAACGCAGGAGGGAAATCAGAAGTGGGCAAGGTTCTCGCTGTGAATTCACGGTCCCAGCTCCCGGAGTAATCTTCTCGATTCCGGTTTCCGGTCACGCATCCGCACTTGGCTTGTGGAGATGTCAGGGCGGCTTGCGGAATTGAGAAGATCGCTCCGGAAGCCAGGATCGTGAATTCACTTTAGGGAAGACCCCGCCCACTTCTGATTTCCCTCCTGCGTTAGAGCCCTTCGAAGTTTTCGTGATTTCCAGTGTGGATTTTCGGATTTAGCGTGGCGAATAAGCCCAGGTAAGCACAAAATCTCAAAATCGACTTTTTGCCCGGACACTGCCTCCTTTAATCCTCTCTCCCCTCCCTTACCAAGGCTGAACCAAAATGCTCAGAGGCATGTCCCAACACACTTTGAGATTCGACTTTTTTATTTTCTGGGCCTCTTCGGGGTGCTGTACCAAAATAAGGTCTTCGGAAAAACTGAGAGGACCTTCCCAAAAAGTAGTTTAAATAAGAGACTCATCATGAAGTGATAGAGTCTTGGTGAGAAAACCTGACGCCTGTAATTATTGCACTCAATAGCATAGACACCGCACTAGCTGTGCTGGCAGTCCCGCGCAGAACGGGTCAATGGGGTCGTCCGCACGCTTGCCAATCTGCGGCTCGCGCGCCATTTCAGAGAAATCTTCTTCGCGGACACTGGATAGAATCTGATGCGGATTAGTCAGAAGGCCAACAGTAAGGGTTAGGCCAGACTGTGCGGTGTACGCGGCGTACGCAGCGTACACCGCGTACGCTTCTATGATGAAATATGCTGAGCGTACGCAGCGTACGTCACGTACGCCCGCACTCTGACTCAACCCTAAGTCTGCTGCCCCTTCGAACATATTTTCGAGAACTCAATTCTGCCGGGACACTGTCTATAATGGAGCAGATTGCGCCGGAGATGAAATTATTTTGAGGGCCATAGAAAGCCTAGAGAAAAAATGGTTTCTTACAGAACGGTTTTTTGCCGTTGTGATGAAAGTATAATATATGCAAAAAAGTTTGAAAAATTATGTGGGCAAAGGGTCAGTTCCAGCTCAGCTAGAACGTCTCGGCCAATTTGGAAAAAGGTTCAGTACGGATTTTGTTCACATAACTTTCCATAAATAGTGGGCCATAGTCAGAGTCCCCTCATGAGCATGCGCACATCAGATTCAATGTCATACTATTGCGTTTTGATCGTAAACAACGCTTTTGTTTGTTTAGAGTAAAGCATGCCAGTTGCATACCGTAGGCACGCCGCTCACAAATCCCGCAAAAACGATATACCCTTTGCTCTTTTCCCAGAAACGATGCCCAGCTTGACCCTATTTCAATGTGCCGAAGCTTGGTTACACCTCTTCCTCACCCGGGTATGATAGTAAATATCTGCAGAGTTCTTAAAAATCGCATCTCTCGACTAGATGACATGAAGCAATATTCGCAACAGGAACGCTCATTTTGCTTTCAAGTCACGTGCGTATCTTTCCAAACAAAGAGTGGCACCATCAAATTTGAAGGCAGCGTCCAGGCAAATCTGGTATGGGGATCTTACGTGGAAAGTAATTTTGGCGCTATAACTAAGGGCCGCATGCACTAACATCCCCACGGGGAGGGCATTGCAGCTTAAAGGAAAGCCTCATATCCTGAAGCTCAGATATCTGGATTTCACGTTGTGTACGTAGCCGTAAGTATTCCTAATATCCTTCACTATGAACATATTGAACAGCAGCGAGAAGCTGTACAAGCCACAGTTTCCAGCATTTGTATTATCCCTGATGATCCCCGGCGCTTTCTTTGAAGTCATTTTTCTTTCTCCAAAGTTAACGAAAAGTTTTCAAAGTTGTGCAGGTTATCTAAACCAACACTGCTTAACATGTTACTTATAAGAACAAATGATGTTTGAAGTCATGAAATTTTCGATGATCCACAGGTCGAAATTTGGGGTTTATCGAAAAATTCGATTTTTCAAAAACTCATTTGTTTTCATCAGTAACATGCTTATCACTGTTGTGTTAGATAATCAGTACAACTTTGAAAGGTTTTCGTTAACTTCAAGAAAAGAAAAATGACTATAAAGAAAAGCGCCAGGGATCATCGGGGATCATACAAAAGCTGGGAAATGCGGCTTCTACAGCTTCTCGCTCCTGCTCAATATGTTCATAGTGAAGGATAGTAGGAATACTTGCGGGCAGGTAGACAGCGTGAAATCTAGTTATCTGGAGCTTCAGAATACGAAGCTTTTTTCTGAGCTGCGATCCCCTCCCCAGCGAGGATGTTAGTGCGTGCGGCCCTAAGACACTATGTAAGCGGAAGGGCAAATTAGTCACTTGCGGCCGAGGTATTCGCTTCCAAACTGGACTAGGAATCGTACTAACGGATGACTTGCGTCGTGTTTGCACGTTTTCGCGCGGGGACTTACGCGAAACTAATGGGTCCTGGTACGAAACCATGCGAACATGAGGCAAGTCGTGCGTTAATACGATGATCCAGTTTGAAGGCGAATATCTCAGCTGTGAGTGTACTATCTGAGCTGCCGAATGGGCAGTTTTATAGTTAATGTCCCAGATTTATTTTCCACATCAGATCTCCTCGTGTCCAGATTTGCCTGGATGCTGCCTTTAAGTTCGTAAACCCGCCCAGTATACACTGCCTGGTACTGTGTGCGTTAGTTATACCATTTCAAAGCAAACTTTATGTTTTGGCTTTCAAATTGAAACACTCTTCAGAACGTTTCGGGCATTGTGAAGATGGCTGGACGTACTATAAAAAGACTGATGCTTGCTATAAGGTAAGCAATGCTTGTGCTGTTCTGCGTCTAGTTACCTTTTCCCTTCATAATCTTATGCATAAGGCTATGTGTGCGTACATGTGTATCACATGTGTATGGTGTATGTGCGTGTTTCTGTGCATGTGGTGATGTGCATGTTTATATTAATAACATTGTGTTAGTGAAGCAAAGATTATCGTGCAACATTTGTTCACTACCTGCTTTGCTGTTTATTAGAAACGACTAATTATCTCTCCCAAAAAGGCTATAATGCTCGTTAATATTTTAGCTACATGGGAGAGATTTTTGAATGGTGTTACACACTTACGGTACTTTTCCTTCCCTAAACTTCACAGAAAAATGGAAAATACAAAATGGCAAACCCTGTCCGCAAGCGTTTTGAATCATGCATTGTGCACTACATCTTCAACACTTCAAGCATAAGATGTAAGTACTCTTGTACATAGCCTAATCCTTGGCAAAATCAATTGTAACTCAAAGAGCCGAGAAAAAGCATTGTTCCTTTGCCATCTTATTAGCTGAACAAAGGAAAAATGTGACCCAATACGGTCTTCTGTACTCGGCCAAGCTAAATTTCGAAGTTGTCTGGAGGTAATGGGAACGTATAAGTTTCGTATTTTGAATAGCATTGGACGTGCGATTGCTCGTTTGCCAAAAATAATCATTGCAGGTATACCATTGGAAAAACTTTGACGATGCTGAGTATTTTTGCCAGAGAAAAGCGGGACATTTGGTTTCTATTCACAGCATTGAAGAAAATAAGTTTGTGACCGGTAAATACACTTGTTTTCAATTCAAAAAAGGATCTTTCTGCAATATCATATGATTTAGAATTGGCAGAGACGGGAGTCAAGGGAGATACACACACAAAAGCTACTTGGATAGGACTGAAACAAGCTGATTGGCCAAAAAGCAAGGAATGGACTTGGACAGATGGCACAAAAGTTGATTATTCACCGCCATGGGCTCCAAACCAGCCAGATAACCATGGGGAGGAGCACTGCACACAGGTGCTGATTTTAAAACAAGTTATTTTTAGATAGACAGCTCTCCATTTTCTTATATTTCACTATTGTTTCCGTTTACCGATGGCTATCGCCACTCTTTTAGTCGCTATCTTTGACAAAAGAAGCCACCTTCGTTAATTAGCGCACTTTGCTTCATCTCACAAAGATTCATGTAACTCTATTTCAGCTCTTCAGTGACATCATGGCTCACAAGGACCATGATTATCAGAAGTGGAATGACTGTCATTGCAGGGATTCAATGAGGGCATTTGTGTGCAAGAAAAAAGCGCTCCACTAACACGTATCCGCATGCATTTGTTTGTTTTCTTGGATTAACGAACGGACAGTTATTAAATGAAACTCATTGCTCATTCGTCAATAAAATACTAAGAGAACCATGTTATGGCGTTCTACTACGAGCCGGCTACCTCTCCTGAAGAAAGTTACTCTCCTGCTTTTCAAGGAAAAGCCGCTTGAAACTTTGAAAAAGCAAATACGTTGAGCGCTATCGCGCTTTTGAAGTGTAGCTACTGACATGCACTCACGGATATCAGAGCTGTGATAATAGGAAGTCAGTTAGTCGTAGTAACCAATAGCGCGTGTTTTGAAAACTTTGCCTCAGGTTTAGAGTACAAAGAGAAATCGCTCCTGGTTATGGCAGGATTCCCAAAACGTTGAAGAGGAATTAAGCTGATAGAGACGTATTTTGCTATAAAAATGAAACTTAACAACTTTAATTGTAGGACAACTGTAGGACACTACACTTACACTAGACTAACCAGAGTTGTTGACATTTGATATGTATAGTGCACGTTTCGAAGTTGGTTTATAGATTATGCCAAACATGTCGTGGGATTATCTCGGTGTTTTTGGAAATGTCCTACATGCTCATTTTACAGACTTTGAAAGTTCAAGTGGTGAAGATAACTTCACTTTATCTTTATTCGCAGTAAAGTTATTTTGCATGATATCGCATGGCTATGTCACACCAATTTTTTGTTGAAATTCTTTCCAAGTTGCAGCTGATTCGCGATGGCGCAGATGCTGGAAGATGAGTGACGTAGATACCTTATCGATCTCTGCTCATTGCCTTTCGTTTTGTCATTCTGAGCGACCTCGATTCTCTCTTTTTTGATTGCAGTATGGTTCAGAAAGCTTCTATCAGAGGGACAGCTTTTACTGTTCTTGTTCTTGATCCACAACTGCGAAATAGAATGCGTTGAATTTTTTTGCTAGTTTTCTCTTAATCTAAAGCTGTTTTTCAACCTTTTTTTCTATTAGGTTGTCCGGAAATTAATGCAGGTTTTGCATATTTTCACTTCAAAGCATCATAACTCCTTTAAAATCGTATATTTTGAAATGAGGTAAAAACTGCTGTGATCAGCAAGTCTTTCTCTATTTGCGCCATTTTCTTTTGTAACTGTAGCTCCAACAAGCAAATTACTGAAAGCCAGAAAGTAAAAAGAAATTTTTTTGACAAGGTCATAATTGGCAAGTTGTAAACTCCTACCGAATATGAGTGTTCAGCCAGAAACTTCTGTAGCTTATAGCCACAGACCAGTACTATATATATGGTTGAGCAAAAAATTTTTTAGAAATTTTCTGCAAAAGAAAAATTTTCGGCTCAAAATTTTCCATTTTTTCGATATTTTCTCCACGGCTGCGATCTCCGATAATTTTGATTTTTTTAATAACTCACCAAAAATAAAGCCTGGGAGGTGCCAGTTGAGATGATATCTGACGGCACTGGCCTCACTCTTCAAGCACGAGGAGAGACCTTCACGGTTGGTTTCTTTAGAAAAGTTTTCTACGCCATGGAGTGGCCGCGACAGTTATTCATGTTATAACCTGTTATAACCACCTGTTATAACCTCTCTACTCTCACAATCGTTCCAAAGAAGCGCTATCATCTATTTGTAGGTTCACTCAATATCTTGCTTCAGCTATATTATCATGGAAGTACCCCTCTTGCCGAATAAGTTCAAGCTAAAATAGTGCAAAAGGTAAATTTAATAATTTAAAGCTTCATCTTCGGATGGTTGTAGATTTTGAACAAATGAAGTTGGTCGTAGAAGTAGTACATATAAGAAAGAGCATGAAGAGCGGCTTCTTTTAGTACGCGGAATTGGTCGAAAGATGCACATACACAGAAGAATGATCTTTTTGAAATTGCATTTGCAGAAACCGCATTAATTTCCGGACAACCTAATACCTTACATTTTTCCGGTTTTCAAAAGCCAATTTTTTTCAAAATAGATAAAGTCTTTTTACATATTATCTGGTTAAGCGTTTTTGATAGATAATTATCTATCGATGACTTCTTTACCGTTTCAAACTATACAACAACTTTGCAAAACACACTTTTCTTTGGAAAACCCAACTCTGTGAATATCCCACACATTGTTGCTCTGATTCGACAAAAGTCGGCCTTTTCACTTTTGACTGATCTATCGAAACCCCCCCCCCCGCCAATGAGAAAGTGTAAAGTACGGCTTTTACTTTAAACATAATTGGAGTAGCCAGGTTGTCTACTGTCTACTGTTGAGTCTAAAAATACTTTTGGGGATGGGGTTGAATGAAAGGCACATGCTTTGGAACATTTCTTTCTAAAGTATCTGAACGTTCTGTTCCTAAATTCCACTTATTTCTCTAACAGTCTAAAATGTTACTCAAACTTGTGAAGTGCAGAAACCGCAGAACTTGATCCTCGAAGAAAGTCGAATCATCTACTACAGCTGTACATGACGGTATTCCTCAAGTCATTCTAAAAACTGTGTGAGAAGTCTCAGCTTTTCTCTTCATACACTTTTATATTTTACTCTCTACTGGTAACATACATAGAATTTAGAAAGAAGCATTGCTGACAACTATCGCTAAAAAAAGATTTCGGAAACACCACAAAGAAATACCGTCCATTTTGCCTTCTGTCGGAAATTCTCTCAGACAATCTACAAAACCACTCAGCTCGTTGTTAGAACAAATATGTTATTCCTCCCGAAAAACATGGATTCTGCCAGGTTTCTATCACTATCATCGGCTCCCAGATTCGTGTGGAGGTGGAGTCTTGCCACCTCATAGCCTGGCAGCTCTTTAGCGAAAGAGTACGAAAAGAGCTATGAAGGAGTGTTTAGCAAGCTCATCTTTATAATAAGGAGAAATCCACAAATGCTTTCGCACTAGTCTCGGGACCGGTCATACATTGCTATCCGATCCTGTTTCTGATTAGCTGCTCTCAACAACAGTAGATCAGCTGATATCATTTACTTCATCTACGGAAAGCTTTCGGTAAGTTTAATTATCAAAAACTTCTTCCGAAGATGTATAAGTGCGGGATAAGAAGCTCATTGATCTCGTGCTTAGCATTCTACTTCCAAACAGAGTTTGACAGTTCGTGTAGGATATGATTACTCAGATGGTGTCATTGCGATAGTAGAGTTTCATGAATGGGTATTCTTTCAGCCTGTCTTTTTTGGCACATGTAGCTGAGCTACTCATGTACCTAAAGTTTCATCCTAATGTAATGATACAGATGTTTGCTGACGATATCAAGGTTATAACAGCTATGATCTAAGCTAATAACATACATCTCTTGCTCTACATTCGATCTCAACATAGAGAATGGTTATGTATTCAAAAGATTGGAGTAATGGAGTTCTTTCAATTTTTCTAAGACCACCGTAATGCATCTTGATGACGCTCCTTGTTATAGTTACAAATGCAAGGGTATCGCTCTTGACTCTTCCACTCGTACGTGATCTAGGTGCGATGAATTGATGAACTGACAACTTCTTCGCATTCTGCACATTGATTTAGGAGTAAGGAAATCTCGCCCTTACTTTTCGCACTTTTCCAGCATGCATAACAACAATTCTGTCGCATTCTTGAGATTGTATCAGACAATAGTTACGCTCCCTGTTTGAGACCCTTTTCGGAGCAAACTCAATAACTTGTAAAAACAACCTTGGAAAGATATAACCTATTCCACTAAATCCTGAAAAAATCTTCGAGCTTTTTCTTTCGAGAGCAATCTGCTTGAAATTTTTTTTCAAAAAGTGAATGTGGCTTCAAGAAGGGTGTTGTGCGAGGGAACTGTATGATGCTTTTCAGATCAAAGCACTATTTTAGAAGGGTATTATCCACTTTTCGACTAAAATTTGAGAAAATTCCGAGATTCTTATAAAGCAATCTGCAATTGCTCGGCTTTTTATATAAGATTTGCAATCTCCGAACTGAGGGAGTGTGAATTGGACAGTGAGGGGGTAGCTGGGCATACTGAATACGAATGTAGCAACCGTTTGTTAGAGTACCTGTTACTTTTATCCATCTCATCGGTTTTTCGTGGAAGAGCTCAGCATTACACATAATGGACAGATAATTATTTACGGGAGTTATGTCTCGCTTTTTGTTAAAGCTTGAGAGAATCCTGAAAACTCAATTTAGAGAGGAATTGCTCTGCAGAAATGCCTGTTTTGTCAAGAGTGAGCATATGAGCGGGTGAAAATCATAAAGCGTATACTATTTTGGGAGAGTAACATTTCAAAGATTTTAAAGAGACATTTTCCGTTCGAACGAGAAAATCTTCGAAAATATGAATAAAAAAACTGCTCTGTTCCAAACTCCACTTTTTAAAAATAGTGAGCCATCCGTAGGTATATGAACTACTCTCAAACGTGAGAAGAAACTCTTGCGAAGCATTTCGTTCGCGCAGTTCGGGCAGGACCATAGCACGCACAGGATGCCATGGCAAACGATTTTAAGAAGTTCACCCGTGGTAAAGTTTGAGCAAATTTGCAGCATTCAAATTCTAGCAGGATATTCTCTCATGACCGTTAGTCAAGAGCAGGTTTTATATTTTCTGTGATTGAGAACTTGAGAACGCTTGTTCAACAAGCTAGAACACTTACTTTTGCGAACTCTCCATAGAAAACAACGCTTCAAAGCTCATTAAACCTGTTAATCAGACACAAGCGTTTTGATGACATCCAACTGTCGGCGCGCGTCAAAGTCATACAGGCTTAGCTTTCTTATTGTTAGAGGTGCCTTCTAACAGATTGTGCATTAATTGCAGTCGCGCATTAGTCAGCTTTTCAGATATACAGTCATAAACAAGCAATAGCATTTGCTGTTCACGAAAAAATTTCCTATACATTTCATTAAGGGCTGTGAAGTAGCATGCTGTTTGTAGTTTCAGAAACAAAAGTTCCTCATATGAACGCAAATCAGCATAATCCCTCTATTGGACTCTGGGTCAAACATAAAGTTGTTTTCAACATCGCAGCACGTCTATACCAAGTGAAGTACGCATTGAATACATATAAATAAGATATAAAATAGCTTGT